CTGTTCTCTCGCTGTGCGTCGTGACGCTCTGATGCGGTCTACCTGCTCTCGCTGTGCGTCGTGACGCTCTGATGCGGTCTACCTGCTCTCGCTGTGCGTCCGTTTCACTCATTGCACCCCCGCCATTCTTCTGTGTTTTGGTCTGAGAGGAGTCCTTGTTTGAGCGCTGAGCGGTTTGCCAACGACCACCTTCTGAGTCCTGATGGGGGGGGGGGTGGTGAGAGGCTGGACGCTCCTCGTTACCTCCTGTACTAACCACCACACACCATCAGGATGAAGGTCGACCCGATGGAAAAATTCTCGGTCCAAAAAGGGCAAAGAATGGTACATTGTACGGCGGGCTTAATGACCCAGCTCCTCCCCCTCTCTCTGAGGGAGAGCCCAGCCTCCCTGCAGAGGAAGCTGGGATCCAGGATCTGGTTCTTTGGGTCCTGATCCAGATGGTAGGTGAGGGGAGGAACGTAGACTGACCTTTTCTCTCAGCTCTGAACCACAGCTGACGGAGCAGCGTCTGAAACCTTTGACCCCTTCAGCCTGGCTGATGATGGCGTGTGGTGCTGAGCACCTCCTGTCTTCCACATGGCGGCCTCAATCCGCCACCTTAGCGTGGGGGACAGCTTTCAGCTGGACTGCACTGGTGGGGGCTGAAGGTGCTCAGATTTCCATGGAGACTTCACGTCAAAATGCTGCTGAGAAGCTCTGCTTTCCATCCAGAGCTTCACCATCTCACCTCATATGGGGAAGGTCTACGCCTCCAAGGAAGGAGCTTCTGACTGCTCCCTCCCTGACCTCCGCTGACCTCCCCTCCCTGACCTCCGCTGACCTCCCCTCCCTGACCTCCGCTGACCTCCCTCCCTGACCTCCGCTGACCTCCCTCCCTGACCTCCCCTCCCTGACCTCCGCTGACCTCCCTCCCTGACCTCCCTCCCTGACCTCCGCTGACCTGACCTCCGCTGACCTCCCCTCCCTGACCTCCGCTGACCCTCACCCGGTCCCTCAGCTCCACCTCCTCACCCTCTCCTCTGTCTCTCGTCCTCTCAGGTCTTCCGTAAAGTGGCGTTTCACATCGTGAGCGGGGCGCAGGACTCGGTGGCGGTGGCGCCAGACAACCTTTCGGATTATGTGGGTAAACCAGTTTTCACAGTGGACCGCATGTACGACGTCACCCCCCCAGGAGTGGTCATGGGCCTGGCATGGACAGCTCTGGGTAAGCGGCGGTCTGCGGTGCTGCAGCGGCCATCAGTGCTTTAGGATCTGACTGTCTGATTGGTTGGCTTTGTAGGAGGCTCCACCCTCTTCATTGAGACATCGCTCCGCCGACCTCTGGGAGGGGCGGACACTAAAGGAGACGGTTCCTTAGAGGTTACAGGTCAGTGTTGTTTCTCAGCGCTCCTGCAGGTGGCGCTAGCTTCTCATCACGACTTATAAATAATAAATAAACCTGGAATATTCTGTCATCCTGAGGCTCTAATGTTAATCTTCATGAAAGATCTAGATCTAGTTCCTGGACAGACGGCTCCACTATAGAGACGGAACGCAGCTGGGGAAATGAAGCTGACCTTTGACCCTGTTCAGGCACTCAGTTCAAAAAGAACATGCTAAGACTTTAACTTCCCTTCGATGTGATCACTGTGCTATAAATAGCCTGAACTGAAGTTAGCATTTATATAAATAATTCTCTATATTAATTATCATCCATGTTAGTGATGCTCCCAACCTTCCAGTATTTAGACGGATCCCATCCAGACTGAAATTACGTGAAAACAAAGAACTTTGATAACATTAAAAGAAAAGCAGCACAGATGTAGCTGAGTTGATTATTTAGCTTCAAAGTACGCAGCTCTGCATTAAACCAAGGAGCAAGTTTCTATTTTTAACGGTTTTCATTTTCAAAGGAGCTGCGTTGTCTAAGGCAATACACAGAGAACCAGCAACCCCATCAACAAAATCATCAACCTGTGAAGGGGAATAAGCTAAGCTTTTGCACTCTGCAGCACTGCTCAGTGACACAGAGGAGAGAGAAAGTGAAGCAGATTCTTTAAAATTTATAACTGCACTATCTGATAAAGATCTCCTAAAATTGAACCTACTTTTGGGGGAGGAGAACTCTGTTAAAGTAATCCTGAAGGTTATTAGAAAGTGGTCAGAGAGGACAGGGTTGTGAGGAAATATTGTAGTGTCTAAGATAGCATTAAAGGCTGCTCTTAAGCTATTGCCTTCAATG